AACCATTTAAAGGTTTTTGCCATGTAGCGTTTACTGTATATGAAATATTTATTAAACTTCTATCATACTTTTATTAAACTTATTTATTATAAAAGTATGATAGAAGTTTAATAAATATTTCATATACAGTAAACGCTACATGGCAAAAACCTTTAAATGGTTTTAGGCTTACACATATATTAAGTTAACTACCTTTCAATCACTTCAAGATTTACATCGTATCATATTATGCCTGTTCACTGAATACTGAATTATACATGCAATAAATTATTATATAATTTATGTAAAATATTCATTGCATTAATTATTAATACAGAATTTAATATACATAAACAATTTTACTTTAAATTTTATCACTACTTATTATTATCACAAAGTATTTTATTTTTGATATTATAAATTATACTAGGCCATAATTTATTTTACTAGAAAATTGAAAATAATCAAATTTTGAACTAATTGCACCAGGATTGCATGTATTAGAAAGGTCTACCATAACGTCTACGGCCATATCACTTGGGAGGGACACCACCTGGGAATACGGGTCGAGTAGACTTTTTTGTACATTTATTTTAGTTTGCAAGTTAATTGAATAATGTTCGAACAATTATATTCAGAAATCTGTTTTCTTAATTTAATTTCAATCTCATTTTTCGGAGAAATCAAAATACGCTAGGTAGATCACAAATGGTTTCATTTCATGTTTGGTGCATTATATCTTTCAAATTTTTATTCAAATAAATTGCCACATTTGTCAAATAATACACCGATAGACTATCGGCGATAGTATTTAAAAAATAAATTTTAAAAAAACACTTAAAAGGATGTTGCAATTTACAGTATTAGTACACATGATATTATAACCTATTCAATTTTTATTTATAAATATATTTCTATTATAAAATGTAAGACATATCGGAATAATTTTTGATTTTAGTACAAAAGTCATTATTATGTGAAATAAAATATCTACTATTTTACGTAATCTTACAAATACTTCAATACAATCAATAAGTGGTATAACCCACTCGCGAGTACCACAAAGTTATCCACATATAGGATACATAACTGACAGGTATTAAATGGGCTTTCATATACCTTCACAGCAATGTTAAGCATTTTTAAAGTAGTGCATTAATCCCACCCGTGTAAGGTCCTGGCTAACAAGCTAATCACAAGTATTTCTTACGTATATTATCAATTTTAATTCACTATTACCCACATAATTATGTCGTTATTTTGATTGCTTTTGCAAATAAACGGATATCTATTGATTTCAATATTCAAATGCTTGCGATAAAACTTTGTCAATAATTGTATAAAAGCCAAACATTCAACACACTAAAAGTCAATAAGTTTTCAACAAGTTAACAAACACTTGAGAAAATGTACAAGCTCACCTGCCTCGTTATTATTGCCGTCTGTGTCTGTCGTATTTACGCAGGTAATGAACATTTTCATATTAATTACTACTGTATATATAGTATAATAAATATCTAGTAATATAACGGTTATTAAAATTAATTTCATAGACGACCCGCCGATACCCGGCTACAAGTGCCCCGAGGCTGACGTCAAGAAGGGCTGCGACGCCCCGACTGCCTGTGTCTACCAGAATGACAAGGACTGCGCCACTTATATCCGGTGCACAAGCGGTGGTCTCGCTTACCTGAGACCCTGCTCAACGGGACTCAAGTGGAATGACCATGCTAAGATTTGTGACTGGCCAGAACAGACCACCTGCCACTAAACAGTAGCCCGTATACGAACAAATTGTGTACTAGGTCAAAATGTTTATTATGCTGAACATTCTTAATTTAAATTATATATTTTATGGTACTTTCAGTAATTATTGATTTAAAATCTTTAATTTTATTAATAAAAACATTTTCATAGCGCAAATTGTTAATTGTGTTTTATGCTAGCCATGCCACGTAATTTAATCTATAATTTATCTTATGCATTTCATTATATTATAATTCTTTACGATATACCTTTTCAATTATACTTTGATTGACTGCATTTCATATAAAACTGATTGTAATATAAAATAAGAGAATGATTTATCTAAATATTATATAATCTGTATTGTATTCAGTGATCATAATTGTTGTAAACTTTAGTACATTCAGAATCACAACCTTTTTTATACCATATCTCCAAATACTATTACAGTACTTATTAATTAATGTAATTGTAAATAAAGGTAGTAATCAATATTTATCTATCACGACATAATGCACAGGTATGTAATGGAAGTAAAGTTTCTGTTATGATCTAATTTATTACATTAGCGACAGTATACGTAAGTATGAGGACATGGGGTACGATACAACCTTTAGTCTACTTCACCATACACTACATGTTAGGACAATATTTTACTAGTAATTTCCCACAACATTTTGCGTACATTGAGTGCAATATTATGATACGATATGAAACTTATAGAGAATTTTTAAATTTTATCTTAACTAAATTATAAATTATAATAATTATAACATAATAAATAAAATATTTTATAAAAATGATGTAACCATTCATGTCATAATTAGTGCAAAAATTATATTTTATAAACGTTTTCAGTGTAAACTTATAGACAATATTCCGATTTATATGAAAAATCTTAAGATTTGAAACATCAAAAGATCATAAATAGTAATTACAATTAGCAATCTTTATTATGAACATTTAACTAAATTTATAATAATCAATTTAAAAATTTTATATAATTTTGAATATAAAAAAATGAATATAAAATATAATTTGTGAAATGTAAAATCCTTATAATATATAAAATAAAAGAAATAATTTACCTGCTTTACACTAAATTGGGTTTCATTTGATTTACAATTTACAACAATTCCTTATTAAACATAATATATTTTTATGAGACAAATGTGATAATAATTTTATTGATGTTACAAACATTTTATTATTATTCTGCAATTATAAGTAAATGCCATATAAATACACAAACAAATTAGACATATAGTCCATTAGCTCACAGATTATTCCAGAATAGTTTAGTTAACTTCAAATATTTGTCCAAGATCACTTTAATACAATGTCAATGTTAATAATAATTGTTATACTCGGTGTTTTAACTAGCACAAAAGTTTTAGGTATGTATGAACTATATCTCAAAAACTTATAACCCTTTTCATCCATAGATTTTAATTATCATTAACAGGAAGTCCAGTGCAGATCAGTTCCAGCTTTAGCTGCCCGGCCGATGACGACTGCAGTATAAGTCAGTGCCTGTATTTAAACCCTGATAACTGCAACACCTTCTGGCACTGTGACGCCAGCAAACAGGCTATACTGAAGTATTGTAACCCGTCATTCCTCGAGTTTAACGATTTCGTCAAAGTGTGTGACTGGGCCTCAGACCAGACCTGTAGACCCGCCAACCCCTCGTCCACCACCGAAGCGCCACCGGAAACAACGACAACGGAGGCGCCCGAAGAGACCACTACTCCTGAGGACACGACTCCCTACGAGACCACCACTGAACAGACTATTGAAGATTGAAAGTAGTATTCAATTATAGATATTGTATTTAAAAGTGATTCATAATCTCGATATTAATAAATACTAAATTAAATATATTGATATATTAGAAAATGATTTTCAAATTTACTCTACTATTTAATAATTTGTCTTATTTTATACCAATTTGTAATTTGTTTATTTGCAAATAAATACTCTAATTTATTATATTAATGACATGGGATACACAATACTACCTTTAATTTAATCCACACTACAATATTTTACTAGTAATTTCTTACAGAATATTACATACATTGAGTGCAATATTATGATACGATATGAAAGTATAAATAATTTTTAAATTTTTCCGTAACTAAATTATAATTTATAATAATTATAACATAATAAATAAAATATTTTATGAAAATTATGTAATCATTCATGTAATAATTAGTGCAAAAATTATATTTTACAAATGTTTGTAGTGTAAACTTGTAGACTTGTTACTGATTCATACAAAACTCTTAAGACCTAAACATCAAAAATCATAAATATTAATTATAATTATCACTAATTATTATAAACATTTAACTAAATTTATAACAAATAATTTAATAATTTTACTTTATTTTTGAATATTAAAAATAAATATAATATATAATATAGAATCTACATAATATATTAAATAAGTGAAATGTTTTATCTGCTTTACACTAAATAGGAATTTATTTAATTTACAATTTACATCAATTTCTTATTAAACATAATATAATTTTTATGAGGCAAATATGATAATAATTTTATTGATGTTACAAACATTTTATTATAATATTATTCGGTAATTAAAAGTAAATACTACAGTATATAATTTTACAAAAAAAAGTAGACATACTGTAGTCCATTAGCTCACAGGTTATTCCAGAATAGTTTATTTAACTTCAAATATTAGTTCAAGATCACTTTAATTCAATGTCATTGTCAATAGTAATTGTTATACTCGGTGTTTTAACTAGCACAAAAGCTTTAGGTATGTATGAGCTATATCCCAAAAACTTATAACCTTTTTCATTAATAGATTTTGATTATCATTAACAGGAAGTCCAGTGCAGATCAGTTCCAGTTTTAGCTGCCCGGCCGATGACGACTGCAGTATAAGTCAGTGCCTGTATTTAAACCCTGATGACTGCAACACCTTCTGGCACTGCGACGCCAGCAAACAGGCTATACTGAAGTCGTGTAACCCGTCATTCCTCGAGTTCAATGATTTCGTCAAAGTGTGTGACTGGTCCTCAGACCAGACCTGTAGACCCGCCAACCCCTCGCCCACCACCGAAGCGCCACCGGAAACAACAACAACGACAACGGAGGTGTCCCCACCTTTCACATGCCCTCCCAATGATGATTGTATGATCAGTCACTGTCTGCACCCAAACCTGGATGACTGCACGAAGTTCTGGTACTGCACTCAGGGTAGGAATCCTGTTGTCAAACAGTGTCCGCCACCTCTCGAGTACAACGACATCATCAAAGTCTGCGACTGGCCTTCGGACCAGACCTGCAAATACGCCCCCAATATTGATATACTGTATTAGAAAATGATTATAAATGAACTGTACTGTTTAATAATTTGTTAAGTTTTATCCCAATTTGTAATTTGTCCATTTGCAAATAAATACTCTAAATTAAAATTCATTTTAATTGTATTATATAAATTAAAATCGCTGTAAATAAATTTTAAGTAGGTTTACTAAATTATAAAAATATCGTATAAATTAATACCATATAAGAAATTTTTAATAGTATCAGGATGTTTTTATTGTCTCTCTGTTTAGTATCGTTTTTGTTTAAGATATTAAATTAAAAAACAAACACATAAAGTTTAAATTAATTAGTTTTAAATATTTTTTGGTAAACATTGTAAAATGTTTATTACATAACATGATGTTTTCGGATTTAAACAAAAAACATGTCATAAAATTGTTTTTGTCTTATTATCATATGATTTATACCATAGAAATAGTGCAATAGATGTGTTTGATTGACATCATCAACACATTTGATGGAAAATTTTGTACAATTAAATACTTTTATGATAAAAGGTCTATGGGTTAGCTGGGTAATTGTCAATCAACATAAAATATAGTTCATGAACACTATTAATGGGATTAATACATGTTAAATGATATCAATTGAATCCAAAGTTTCTTATACTATAATCACAAGTTTAATGAAATGTTAGACAACTAGAAAACACAATATTAGTAAATGTGATAAATTATGCTTTGTTAAACTCAAGAGTCAGTAAACTATTGTGCGATAACTTAATTGTGTGATAATTTGGACCAATATTTGTATTAATATTGTCAAGATAAAGTGATACAACTATTGTACTTGAAATACTTATACCATATAAAATCTTTACAAAATTTTTAAATTTAATAATATTGAAATATTATGAAAATAAAACATAAACTATTTCAAATAAATATTACTTAAATTTTTATAATATTGTATAAGACATCATCCACAAAGTACGTACAAAAAACTTAGCCAAAAATTGACTCCCGTCCCCTTGTCCCCTTGCACGCCAGTCGTACATAGGAATTGGTATGACTCCCACTCTCAGCATTCGTATGTACTTTGTGTATGACTCCTAAGTGATCTCATGATATTTTATACTAGTATACAATTAAAATACTCAATATATGGTATAAATGACACGTTTTTATTTATTGCCGATTGATCTCAAGATAAATTTATGCATTACATGTGAGATACAATTGATAACCGGGGCAAGTTTATGACACTGACAACAGTGAGTACTTTAGAAATAGAAATCATCACATCTTAATCTACATTTTAGTACAATTCTCAAGTTTCTAAACAGGGTAACAATTATGAGTAAATATAAATTCTAGGTTATTTGTAGGATATAGCAAAATTGTTTAAATTATTTATTGTTTATTTAGAAAACTTATAATAATAATTGGAGTAAATTCCTATAATTATATTAATTATAAGAAAGAATTTTAATTACTTTATTATTGGCATTAAATCCTATTCTAATGTTATTTACGGATATTGTATTCATATATCATAAAAATGTTTTCCTTTTAACATGCAATTATTTTATATCCTTTATTTCAAATCACTTTCCCATTTATGAGTTTATTTTTAAATTAAAATTAATTTATCAATTCATTAAAATAATTATCACATTACAAAAAACATTAGGAAATTGATTAAATTATTTTAATTAAATTTTTAATACTGTATTATAAATTTAACATTAGAGTTTTATTATTTAATATTTGTTAGAATTTTGTTTTAAATGCATTTAAATAATAAATATTCATATGCTATCATATTACATGTAAAATTATAGCTAATTTTAGCACATTAATCCCTGTGTTATATAATAAAAAGCTTATATTTTAAGTAAAACTCCTTTGGGAACAATAATCACAGAATCGTATCAGACATCAAAGGATATCAAACTCCATGTATATTACAATTTGTAAACTGAAAGAATCGTAAATTATAAAATATAGCCCATAAATATACCTGTATACAGTATACAGTTCATTTTTATACATAATAAACAATATAATTCAATAGAACTATAAAATGCAAATAATTATAAAAAAGTTACACAAAACAAATAAAAAGCGATGAAATAAAAAACTAATCCATTATAAAAATCTGTGTCTTTTATGTGAATCCCATTCATTCACAGAATTTTAATTTTTATCGACTATTAGAGACTCATTCTTAAACATAATTAGTTTATAAATAATCCAGTGAATTTATTAATTAAATGATCAAGTTCATTTTAATATTAGTAGTTGTGGTCGCGGGTATTGAAGGTATGAATAATCTTAAATATAGATTTAAATTAGTTTTAAATTTAAATATATTAATTTCTAAACTATTGAACAGCCGGTCCAGTGGCCCAACCATTTACATGTCCTCCCAATGATGATTGTGTGATCAGTCAGTGTCTGTACCCAAACCTGGATGACTGCACGAAGTTCTGGCACTGCACTCAAGATAAGAGACCTGTTATGAAACAGTGTCCGTCATCTCTCGAGTACAACGATTTCATCAAAGTCTGCGACTGGCCTTCGGACCAGACCTGCAAATACGCCAACCCTTCCACTATAGCACCGACAACTAAGCCGACAACTAAGGCCACACCTAAACCCACGACTCAACGACCGACAACTGAGGCGACGACACAGAAACAGACCACTCAAAGGCCAGCAACAACTGAGCCAACTCGAGTGCCCACAACTCATAGCCCCTCCACCTCTGAGACAACCCGAGAACCCACAACTCAAAGGCCAACCACCGAAAGGCCCGCAACACCTGAGCCAACCCGCGAGCCCTCTACCCAAAGACCAACCACTTCTGAGCCCACCAGAGAACCCACCACTCAAAGCACCACCATTTCCGAGCCAACCCGAGAGCCGTCCACCGAAAACCCTACCACTCCTGATGTAACTGAAGAGCCCTCTACTGAAAACCCCACAACCCTTGAGCCCACCACTGAAAGGCCTACAACAAGTGAGCCAACCCGCGAGCCCTCTACTCAAAGCTCTACCATTTCCTCGACCGAAAACCCCACGACTTCTGAACCTACCGATGAACCCTCGACTGAAAACCCCACAACCCCTGAGCCAACTCAAGAGCCGTCCACCCAAAGCACCACTACCTCCGAGCCAACCCGCGAGCCCTCCACTCAAAGACCAACAACTGCTGAACCAACTCAAGAGCCGTCCACCGAAACCACAGTCACTATTGAGCCGACCGACGAGCCCTCTACTGAAAACCCCACTACTCCTGAGCCAACTCCAGAACCCTCTACATCTGAACCCACCCTCGAGCCCACGACCGAAAAGCCCACTACATCTGAGCCAACCCGACAGCCATCGACTGAAACACCAACCCATGGATCAACTGCTGTGACACAACCGGAACCGACAGAAGTGCCGACAACCACTCCATTCGTGTGTCCCATAGAAGACATGGAGAAGGGCTGCAAAGGACCCAAAGACTGCTTATATCCTAACCCCGAGAGTTGTAACACATTTATCCAGTGCACAGTCAATCCCGACGGCACCGGTACTCAAGTGGTGATGCCGTGCGCTGTGGACTTGGAGTGGAACGACAACAAAAAGGAGTGCAGTTATAAGAATGAGTCCACCTGTCCCGAGACTCCCTGTCCAGAACCGACACCTCAGCCAACATCCCGTCCCTCAACACAGAGACCTACTGTAGGGCCCACTCAGAGACCAACGACTGAATCGGATGTGACGACAGAAGAGACGACAACTCAAGAACCGGACGACACGACCACTGAGTCAGAGCCCGAGAGCTCCTCCACAACCGCACAGACATCTGAAACCACTGTTGAGACCGACTATCCATCAGAGGAACCAACTGTCAGTTCGTCAACAGAGGGACAGACCAGTGAACAACCGATTACGTCAACACCCGCTGAGACAACCACTGAATCCGATGTCACCACACAATCGGATAAACCAATAGTATCATCGACAGCGCAGACATCTCCAACACCTGCCCGGCCATCAACACCCGAGCCCACACAGGGTTCAGGGTTTGTCTGTCCGGAAGAGGATATAGCAAACACTGGATGCAAAGGACCCAAAGATTGTTTGTATCCCAACCCCGAGAACTGTCAGACATTCATTCAGTGCACAGTGAATGCGGACAATAAGACGGGCACTCCTGTGGTGATGCCCTGTCCGGCAGGGCTCGAGTGGAACGACAACATCAAGAGATGTGATTATCCCGAGTCCTCCACTTGTCCTAAAGGGTCCACCGCTAGACCCACTGAACAAACATCGGAAGCACCGGTAGAGACCACACAAGAATCAGAAGCGCCAACCGTTCCAACCGAAGAGACCACACAAACACCTGAGGAAACGACTGCCAATCCATCGACTCAATCATCAACTGAGGGACAGACCAGTGAAGAACCGATTACTACTTCAACACCGGATCAGACGACCACTGAGTCTGATATCACCACAACTGAAGGAGATGTGGACACAACCACCGAAACAGAATCTGACAGCCCGTCCACCACAACAACCAGACAGCCAACTGAGTCCACTTCAGGCAATCCATCGACAGATAGGCCGTCAACATCACCAGTAGAGGTGTCCACTACTGAAGAGCCCACTGACACGACAACCCCTGAAGACGTCGACACGACTACAACAGAGGAACCAATTGACAGCACGACCACAAGACAGCCTACAACTGGAGCACCGGTAACCGGGAGCACAGGTAGACCGCAGACATCGACAACAGAATATACATCACCATTACCCTGGTCTACACCAAAGCCTACTCGTCCCCCAATATGCGATCCGGATGACGGTGCCGATGCTGATCTTGATTTGAAAGCCTTGTGCGGCACCGGATGCTCATCACAGAGACTGATAGCCAACCCCAACAGTCAACAGCGATATATAGTCTGTAATGGAGGCGATAATAACGGTGTGAATAGTATCCGCAAATGTAGTCCAGGTTTGCTGTTTGACCCCAAATACAATACCTGTGACTACGCGGGTCTCGTCAACCCTACCGGCCCTCAATAGAACTGGTAGTCAACAGAATTGCATTTAATATAGACTTCAAACAAATTGTGTTTTTAATGAATTTGTTGGAATTATTTATTAATTATTTTACCAAATTTTATTTAACATTTTAAACATTAAATGTTGTTTTTTAAAGCATTGTCATTAATTTTTTGGACTCTCTCTCTCTCTCTCTCTCTCTCTCTCTCTCTCTCATTATCTCATTATTAAAAAAGATACAAAAGTTAAATAAAATAGTTATAAAATTTATAAAAAGTGCTGAATCTGTGATAAAATTAAAACAATACGTCAGTATCTATTGGCGTCAGTGTATGAACCAAATGGACTCATAAATTAAAATCTATTTTAACTTTTATCTTTAATTATAAAATTATATAATAAATTGTAAAACCTGTTGACACTGGTTAACTCGTGTTTTTTATACTAACTCGTAAGAATTATTTTCAATATTATAATTAATATTAAATTTTAATTTTATAATATTTTTATTTAATTATATAAAACAAACCTCAGATTACAAATTATATAAACTTTTATATTAAAAATCTAATATTACAAGAATATGGTGTAATCCAGGTGTTAATCTGTTAATAAAAGTGTTAATAATAATAATTTATCACTACATAATCTTAAGTTAATATTATAAATAATTGCAAATAAATATTCCCGGAATATTCTTTCATACAGTATAACAAATGATAAAACATTTTTCACGTGAAAGGATTAGGCTATAAAATAATATTATGTTCACAATATTTTGATTGCATTTTCACTTATATTTAATAATTAGCATTTTATTTCACATTATTTCAAAATATTCCACATATAAAGTAACATTCCTAAGTAAAATTGTAAAATAATGCAGTTATCATAAAATATGACTCATTTTTGGTGAATTTAGTACAAGATTTTAGTAAATAATGTAATAAAAAATACGTACAATTTTTATAATTAAGTAAAAAATGACTACAGTAAAATTTTGACATCACTGATTTTAATCAATTACAGCTAGCTCGTGTTTTGGTAATAAAATCTGTTTAGTATAGTATTAGAAATACGTGAAAATCTGCGAAAAATTTCTACACTTTTTTCTGAGAAATTATATCAAAACTAGAATTAAATTATTATTTTAGATAACATTTGATTCATTGAATTATAAGACAATAATAAAAATATGACGAAAATAATATGTTATACTTATGCCTTTATTTATAACACACATAATATCAAAATAAATACCTAAATATAATATGTGCTACCAGAGTAAATTTAATAAAATTAACTTGTTAATCTTATTAGATTTAATTTAAACTAGTTATATCTAAATAATCTTTTAGAAAATAGACTAAGTTAAAAAATATATACTATAAGAAATTATTTGTGATTTGGTTTAGTAGTAAGAAGTTGTTAAATAAATATACCTTGGTTATTCATATAGTAATAAAATAAGAATTTATAGACTACACGAATAGGTAAATTAAATTAGGAATTATTTTAAATCCTGTTCATATTGTGTAATGTGATTTAATTATATCTTTATATGTTTTACACTGATATAAAGTGAAGGTGGTTTATTTGTTTGATTAATTTATATATAAGTCACACTACCTGAGCTTCAAGTGATACACTTTCAAAAAGTCATTTATAAATTATTATAAAGTAAAGTGAATTATAAAGTGAATAAAAAATTGTATTTAATAATTAACTATACTGTATACAATTGTTTGTAAAGAGTTTGCAAAATAATGCAAAAATTAATCTTTGCTATAATTATAGCGGCTGTCGGTGCAGCCCCTTCCCCTTATAGGTCTGGTATGTATTTTTAAAAATAATTTTTGCAATCATTATACTAATTATTGTTTTAAATGATAGGAACTCCTATTCCTGGCTATCAGTGTCCACAGGAGGACATAGATAATACAGGCTGTAAGGGACCCAAAGATTGTTTGTATCCCAACCCCGCAGACTGTCATTCATTCATTCAGTGCAATGACGCGGGACTGGCCTACGAGATGCCCTGTGCACCAGTAGACCTCGTTTATAACGACACTCTTAAGGAGTGTGACTGGGAGTCCACCACTCCTTGCAGGACATCCACCACACCTCTGCCAACCGCTCAGACGTCTGAGGCACCGGTAGAGACAACTGCAACCCCTGAGGCACCGACAACCGATGCCCAGACCAGTGAACAACCGATTTCTTCAACCACTGAATCCGAAGTCACCTCAGAATCGGAGTCATCGACAGCACAGACATCCTCAGCACCGGTTCAGACAACTACTGAATCAGTCTCTGAAAGCTCCTCCACAACCGCACCGCCATCTGAGTCGACATCTGCAGCACCAGTAGAGACCACACAAACACCAGAGGAACCGACTGCCAGTCCTTCAACTCAATCACCAACTGAGGGCCAGACCAGTGAACAGCCAATAGAGTCATCGACAGCACAAACATCCTCAGCACCAGTCAAGCCGTCAACACCTGAGCCCACACAGGGTTCAGGATTTGTCTGTCCGGTAGAGGACATCGCAAACACAGGCTGTAAGGGACCGACAGATTGTTTGTATCCCAACCCCGAGAACTGTCAGACATTCATTCAGTGCACAGTGAATCCGGACAATAGCGGCACTCCTGTGGTGATGCCCTGTCCGGCAGGCCTCGAGTGGAACGACAACATCAAGAGATGTGATTATCCCGAGTCCTCCACTTGTCCTAAAGGGTCCACCGCTAGACCCACTGAACAGACATCGGAGGCACCGGTAGAGACCACACTCAGCACCAGTCAAGCCGTCAACACCTGAGCCCACACAGGGTTCAGGATTTGTCTGTCCGGTAGAGGACATCGCAAACACAGGCTGTAAGGGACCGACAGATTGTTTGTATCCCAACCCCGAGAAC